TACTGGTTGTTAGTACTGTTCTTATTAATGCTTGGCCAACGGACAATAAATAATATTTAAAAAAATAAAGTTCAAACTACAAAAAAAAGGTTATTGGTTTATAGTCCCATAATAGGGAAGCCATGAGTAGGAGAAGACATTTATCATCATTATAACTCAAATTCATAGTATATGAATAACTTATGTGACTCCAGGAAAACAACCCAACAAAAAAAACATGATGAAACAGATGTCAGAAAAGAACCTAAAATGCCCAACTCCATTAGGGAAAGAGAAACCTAAATGTGCTCATTGGAGGTTTGTCTTAACCATGTAGAAGCTTTTCAGACAGTGGCACATTGTTACTGTTTGACAAAAAAGAAGGTATTAACTTATGGGGGGGAGTCTCTTTGCTTAGGCCAGCTAGCCTGTAGAGAGTGCCTTTGAATAGGAGATACTCCCTCCTGACTGACAAGTCCTTCACCAGGACTTTAAGGTCAAGGGCAGCATAGGCCGATTGACCCACAGATCAGGCATTCTTGTGCAGCACAATCTGTAATGTGCATGAGTCCCTGACCCTGAAGCATGTCTGTTGAGTCCTAGGTTCCACAAAGAACACTGCAAAACTTAAGGCCAGATGGATGGTGGCCACTGAAGCTGGCTTAAGCAGGGGGGGAGTGATACCTGTACATTATAACTTGTGGTTGTAGAGTATTTTTGTGCATTGTAAACACACAATATTTCAAAGTATATTCCTGTTCTCATTTCATCAGTATTAAAATTCTAAATAGCATAAGAGAACTATTTATCCCCAATTTCTACATATAAAAGCTTGAGGTTAAAATACCTTATTTATACTGTTGCTCAAAAAGATAATGAAGGATTTCATGGAGTTGAACTTGTTTACAGGCATAAGTCTCATAGCTATTAGGAGTTCTTTCTATTTTATTGGTGTTTTTTTATTGAAGTATAGTACATATAGTATTATGTTAATTGCAGTGTAGTGATTTTACAGTTACATTATAAGATGTCTCACGGTAAATGTGTCACTATGTGTCACCATACAAAGTTATATAATTATTAATCAGGCCCTGTTGTTACACTTCATCCCCTCATGGTTTATTTTGTATCTTTATTACTGTTTGTAATCCCCTTTTCACCTATTTTTGCCCACGCCCACCTATATATAGCATTTCTCCTCTGGCAACCACCAGTTTGTTCTCTACTTAAGAGTCTATTTCTGGGTTTATGTCTGTTTGTTTTGTTTTTTAGATTCTGCATTTAAGTGAATTCATGTGGAGGACTTTTTCTTTGACTTTGTTTGATGTAGCATAATATCTTCTGGTTCATCCATATGAATTATCAATATCTCATTCTTTTTTTTATGGCTGAGTAATGTTCCATCATTTATATTATATATATGATGTATGTATACACACACACACACACACACACACACACACACACACACACACCACTGCCACCACCCACCCACATCTTTACCCATTCAGCTATTGACACTTGGTTACCCCATATCTTGGCCGTAAATACGCTGGTAAAACCTAGGGGTGCATATATATATCTTTTGAATTAGTATTTTCATTTTCTTAGTAAATACCCAGTGGTGGGAATTATCGTCAGTATGGTATTTATTTTAATTTTGAGAACCTCCATACTGTCTTCCATACTGTTTGCACCAAATATATTCATCAGTGCACAAGTGTTCTCTTCCTCCATATCCCCAACACATTGTTTCTTGTCTTAAATCTTGTTGTAACAGATACAGAAAACCGCAGACAATAAAAATGTATAGATTGAGTTATATAGCAAACATCTTGAATCCTTGTAACTACCATCATAAAGAATAGAACTCTTTTTCAGCTATCCCTAAACTCCCCTTCCATGCTTTGTCTCCAGCGCATAACCCTCTCTTCCCCTGCAGCTGTTATTCATAGTTTTATATAATAATTTCCTTGTGTTTCTGTAGTATAGTTGTGCCTTTTTAAGTCATCAATCTACTGAGGTAAAATTTATATATTGTAAAAATCACTCATTTTAGGAAATAGACCTGTGAGTTTTTAATGAATGTGCATAGTCATGTGTCCACACAATAATTCTCCTCAAATCTCCCTCATGTTCCCTGTCATCAATCCCTATGGTTTTGTCTTTTCCAGAATGTCACACCACGGGCTGTGTCATGCCCTGGTCCCTTGCTTTGAGATTCTTCCATGTTGTTGCCCAGTAGTGTGCTGCCCCTTTATTGGCTGAGTAGTGCTCCATTATGTGGATGCACTAATTCATTTGTTTATCCAGGTGCCAGTTGTTGGGCATTTGGGATTGTTTCTAGTTTGGGGCTTTTTATGATGAAAGACTTCCTTTACACTTCTCATATAGGTTCTCAGGTAGACATGCTTTTCAGTTTTCTGAGTAAACATTTAGGCATTGAATAACTAGTTCTATATGGTAAATATATTTTTAATTTCAGTGAGAAACTATTTTCCAAAAGTGACTGTGTTACTTTCTATACTCACCAGCAAAGTATAAAAGTCTCCAGTTGGGTGATCATTTTGGATGATCAGTTTATTTAGTTTTAACCATTTGAGCCGATCTTCAGTTTATTTAACTTAGCCATTCAATTAAGTAGTGATATCTCATTGTGGCTTTAAATTTACTTAATGACCAACGAGAGATGCTGAGCATCTGCACATATTTGCCACCCATACCTCTTTTCTCTTGTCAGCTCAAATTTATTGCTTAAATTTTTAAAGGTTGTATTGTAGCCTTTCATAAATTGTAAGAGTTCTTTATGTGTTCTAGATGCAATTCTTTTTATCAAATATTTTTTTTTGAAAATATTTTCTTTTTTAGTCTATGACTTTTACTAAAATTTCTTTAGAGGAACAGAGGTTTTGATTGATGTTCAATTTAATCTTTTTTATTTTCTTTACATGTGTTTGTCATTTGGGTTCTCTGTAAGAAGTGTGTGCTTATTGTTCCACAGTCAAGCAAAATTTTCAATTATGTTTTCTTGAAATTTTACAGTTTTAGTTTTACTTTTAGGTCCATGGTTAATTTTGGAGTTGAATTTATATGTGGTGTGAGCTAAGAGTCAAGATTCTTTTTTTTCTTTTTTTGTTTTGCAAAATGTCTGTTGTTCAGTGTGATTTTAATTATCAGGACACCTGTGTTGAAACTCAGTTGACCGTGTGTGTGCTTCTCTTCTGGACTCCCAGAATCCAGCATGCTCTGGTGTGTCTGTCCTTATGTTAGTGTCACATTTGATTATTTGTAGCTTTATAGGAAGATCTTGAAATCAGGTAGGTAAGTCTTCTAACTATTCTTTTTTCAAAGTTGGTTTTTGTTTTTTTGCTATACTAGTCCTTTATTTTCCATATGAAATTTAAAATCAACTTTATCTGCAAATAAATTGTAGAGTTCTTTGTGAATCATTAAATTTTTTTTTGTCGATTCATAAATTCCATTGAAGCGGCTAATGAAAACGTTACCACGATAAATGCGAAACGAAGCACACATTTAAAAAGGACAATAATCATAACACCCTTAAGAAGCATGAACCCAATAGTTCTCTGCCTGAGACTTTGAGTAACTGCCGGCTCTGAAAACCTGTTATGTCACCAGCTTTGTGATTTTTTGAGGGGGGCCAGGGGGCAGTTTTCAAATCTCATTGTTCCTCAGTTTCCTCATCTGTAAAATGGGGATAGTAATAGTACTTACTTTAAAGGGTCATTACCGGATTAAATCAGTTAATGTAATGCACTGAACATTTAGTAAGTACTATATAGTATATATAAAATATAGTATGCAACATCAATTTCATTATATTGGTCTCATGCTTAGAAATCCTCAGTGTTTCTTTATGGGTAAAATTCAAACTTTTGGTTTGACTCTCAAGACCCTTGCAACCTGGTCTCCAGTCACCTTTTCATTGTCCTTTTCAAACACATCTGAGGTATGAGGGGGACAACTAATAAAACCCCTGTTCTCCCGGACCTGTACACACTTAGGACAAAGCTAGTCGGAGAAAGGACTGAAAGTTTATACCCATGTGGGTCTGCCGATGCCTCACCTCTACTTTAGGCCTGCTCACCCACTGAGTCACTGGGATAGTTGGAAAACCTCAGGCTTCCCTTGCAGGCATAGCCCACTGAGGAATGCTCCCCCAGCGCTGACCAGCAAGTCTGAATGAAGCGGGAGTGGTATTTTAGCAGACTTTCTTCACAGGCAAACAGAGACCATGGAAATAGTGGCTTCCACAAACATGCTGCAACAGAAATCCTATTTAAAAAATGTTTTGGGGCGCCTGCGTGGCTCAGTTGGTTCAGCGTCTGACTCTTGATTTTGACTCCCATGGTTCATGAGTTCAAGCTCCACATCAGGCTCTGCTCTAACAGAGTGGACCCTGCTTGGGATTCTGTCTCCCTCTCTCTCTGCCCCTCCTTCACTCACACTCACTCTACCTCTCTCTCTCTCTCTCTCTTTTTCTCAAAATAAACATTTAAAGATTTTTTTTAAAGTCTCTATTCTTGGCAGATAGGTTTCTTTAGAGGCCCTTGAGTATGTGTGGCTTATTCCCACCTGTGTGTGATTATTCACACTGTTACCCTGACTTCTCTATTTCCTCAAATCATATCTGCCTTTCAGGGCCCAACTTGTATCCATCTCTGCCATGAAACATTCATGAACTGATCCACCTGAGTAGAGCTCTGACTTGTGTCATGGTTTCTTTTTTATCCTACACACTGGTTTTTCATCACTTACTGTCATGAGTTCTTATTTGCCTAACAGTTGCAAGTGTGCATGTGTTTGCCTTAACAATTTCAGGGTTTTTTGTTTTTTTTTTTTTTTTAGAGATGGGGATCAGGTATTAATTGCCTTCTAACTTGCACTATACCTAGAAGAAAGTCTTCTACTTTTTTGTATATGTGTAATGAGTAATTGATCAAGTGAAAGAAAATACTAAGACATTCTCGCCTCTCTGACAATTACATTTTCATTTCCAGTATTTAGAAATGATGGAATTAGATATAGGAGATGCCAGCCAAGTTTACATAGCATTCTTGGTTTACCTGGACCTCATGGAGAGTAAGTTATTTGTTTTATTGTTTTGTTGTTGGGCCTGTGGTGGGGGGGCTGGAGGGTTGGGTTGGGCTATGGCATTTCTTCATTCATATACTTTGGGAATTACTGGGTAACGGAAAATGCTAGAAAGTGAAGAGAAGATAATATTATGGGTGATGTTTGCTCAGCAGAGTATTAGGTGGAAGTTTAGAATTTTATCTTTTATTTTTGATTAACATTATTGTCCATTCAATGATGTACTTTCAGGTAAAAGTTGGCATGAAGTAAATTGTGTGGGCTTACCAGATCTACAGCTCATCTGCCTTGTCGGTACTGAGATAGAAGGAGAAGGATTACAGACTGTGGTGCCTACACCCATCAGTGCTTCCCTCAGCCATAACAGGTAGGCGGGTGATTTTGGTCTTTATCAGGTTGTTTCCTTTCCACCAGGAATCATTAAATTCACAATAGTAAATATTTTTAAAGGAATATAGGGTACAGAGATCATAGCTTTACTCTGGGCTATTTGAGGACTGAGTTAAATATGAACATTTAACAAGTATTTAGCACTTATTGTATGGTCAGTACTTTTTTCAGAGAAGGAATATATATGTTAGAAATACTGTCCTTAAGGAAACAGAAAATGTCTTCATTCTTATAAGGAGGCAAGACCTTACAGTTGAAACACAGATATTTTGGGGCGCCTGGGTGGCGCAGTCGGTTAAGCGTCCGACTTCAGCCAGGTCACGATCTCGCGGTCCGTGAGTTCGAGCCCCGCGTCGGGCTCTGGGCTGATGGCTCAGAGCCTGGAGCCTGTTTCCGATTCTGTGTCTCCCTCTCTCTCTGCCCCTCCCCCGTTCATGCTCTGTCTCTCTCTGTCCCAAAAATAAATAAAAACGTTGAAAAAAAAAATTTTAAAAAAAGAAACACAGATATTTTAAGATATACCATAATAATTGGTATGGGTAATATTTGCTTTAGATGTTGGGGAAGAGTGTGATTAACCTGCAAGTTGAAATCAAGGAAAGCGTCATGCATTTCTGGAACCTTTTTAAAAAATCTTAGTTACACATAGTTGGAAAACATCTTTATTTCATGACACATTCTCCAAATCAACCTCCCAAAACAAAACTAGATTCTTGGCAGTAACTTAGAGCTAACTTTGTGGGTCTCCTCCTTCTCTGTTTCCCAGAAAAAGGCATATGTATATATGCCTTATATAAAGGGCATGTAATCTTTTGAGGTTGACTTTATGCATTCTATATTATACTGCTGAAATTCACCCATTGTTCTGTATGTGTATTATATTCCATCGTGTGATGGTACCATAGTTTTCACATCCACCCTCCTGATGATGGAGTGTTGTAATGTTCAACTTTAGGGGATAATTTCAGACTGTTTTCCAAAGTGGTTGCCTCACTTCACTTTCTACCTGCAGTGTAAACAAGATATTTTGGAGTAGTATTGTCTCTGACATTTAGTATTGTCAGATTTTGAGATTTTTGCCAGTTGAATGAGTTATCTCTTGGTAGTGTTCATTTGCATTTTTCTGATCTCTGATAATGAACATTTATTTATATATTTATTTTTTCTTTTCTTGAGAAATTCCTGTTCATATCCTTTGCCTATTGGATTATTTGTAGTTTCCTCATTGACTTGTAGGAGTTCTTTATATATTCTTGATAATAATCATTTTGGTTGTTTCCCGGTTTTTAAATCTGTTTTCAGGTATTTTTTGATGAATAACAGTTCTTAATTTGAATATAATCATATTACATATTTTTAATAATCGATGTCTTTGTGTCTGGGTTAAGAAATATTTCCTTTCTAGACAAATATCATATGACTTCACTCATATGAGGACTTTAAGAGACAAAACAGATGAACATAAGGGAAGGGAAACAAAAATAATATAAAAACAGGGAGGGGGACAAAACATAAGAGACTCACAAATATGGAGAACAAACAGAGGGTTACTGGAGGAACTTTATTTTCACGTGGATAATCATTTTTTTCTACTTGCATTTGCTGAATAGTCCCTTCTTTCCTCATTATCTGACATATCTCCTCTGTCATTTTCCAAAGCTCCATCTGTGCAATGGCTTGTTTCTGGGCTCTCTTTATATTCCATTTGTCAATATACCTATGCTTGTGCCAGTGCCACATTTTCGTAATTTCTGCTTCAGAAGTCCTGGTATCTGGTTATCAAGTTTCCCCTTCCTGCTTTTTTCCTTTAGAAGCTGTAGCAGGCACCTTCTAACCTGGCTTCCTGTACTCCGGTAGTCACACCCTTGTGTAATTCCCTGTCCTTGAGTGTGGTCTGTGCTTATTGACTGGCTTGTAACAAATAAAATGAGACAGAAACAACGGGATGTTACTTCTAAGATGACATTACAAATGACCATGGCTTCTATCTTGGGCACTCTGTCTCTCTTTCTTGTTCTGAGGGAAGCCAGCTGTCCTGTGAACTGTCATTCAGAAAGGCTGAAAATAGAAGAGTGAAAAAATTATTGATAGAGTAAAATTCTTAAAAAAAATTTTTTTTAATGTTTATTTTTGAGAGAGAGAGACAGAGTGTGAAATGGGGAGGGGCCGAGAGTGGGAGACACAAATTCAAAACAGACTTCAGCCTCTGAGCTGTTAGCATAGAGCCCATCACGGGGATAGAATCCGTGAACTGTGAGATCATGACCTTAAGTCGGACACTTAACCGACTGAGCCACCCAGGCACCCATCATGGAGCAAGATTCTTGAGAGATGGGAAGGGATGGATTCAAGGAAATAGTTGAGATCAATATTGAGCTAAAGGAGGAGGATCCTAGCTTCTGAGCTTGTGAGTCAGGAAGAAAGGACAAATACAAACATAGCTATATTTGGGTAGGTGTATTAAGCATGGAAGACGGCATAGCACCTTAAATTCCAACATGAAGGACTTTGATAAATACCTGTTTTTTCTAGTTCACTATGATCGAGGTAAAAAGAGCACTGGACTAAAACCTTAAGACCTGGGTTCTGGTCTTGGCACTGACACTTAATATTTTGTTTGATGGTTGGTGACATACCTAATTTCTCTGGGTTTCAGTTTCTTTGTCCTTTATTGAGGGGTCTAGATTATCCATAGATAATATGTAAGATCCCTTCCAAATCAAAGCTATTATAATTGGTTATTTTTATTGTTATATTCCATAAAACTGTACTACACTAATTTTTAGATTTCTATTAGTATTTTTGTATGGCTTTGTATAATTCGTTATGAGAATTGTGTTTTGATATATCAGGCTATTCACATCCTTCTCTTAGAGGCCCTTTATTGTGAGATTTTGGTATGTGTTTGCATCACAAATAGTTGATAGAGTTGACATCAAATTTGATCACTGATACTTTGTATTTTTCACTAGCATGATTTCCAAGCCTTTCTATATCTAAAAGACTTAATAATTCATTCCTTAAAACTCCCCCTCTGTGTCTTTTAGTTATTGCAACAAATACTATATTATCTAGTATTATTGTTATATTATTTGTTTGGACAAGGAACTACCATTTTTAATTAACCTGAACTTAATCCTAAAAAATAAAATCAGTAGTCTATTTGAATCAAAATGATTTCATAAGTCTAGAGGTACAAATTTGAGTCCTATTAATTTCTAGTTCTTGCCAACTGATGATTATTGATTTTCCAGCTTTATTGCATAAAGCTTGTTTTCTTCTTAAATAGAATTAGTTGAAAGGATAACTTAGTAAGCCATTTTTACACTCTTGCATTTAATAACCCAGAGGGCTTAAGTCTTTGTATATTGGTTTTTATATAAATATTCATAGTTATATTATGCAGTAGAATAATAATATAGAAAATAGCATAAATGAGGCTCAGCACCTATTAGATTTATTATGCCTTTTATGGCATAAAATTTTCTCAACTCAAAGTATGCAAATAACTTTTTAACAAATAAAGATTTGTGTGTGTGAATGAGAGAATGTGTGTTTGGTATGGTTCCTCGGTCTTTAGCAGAAATGATATTTTAGGTGGTAGGCATACTTTTATCTGTTTTTACTTCCATGAATGCTTTATATATAAAATGTTATGTATCTAACAGTAATGCTGTAATTTCCGACATTTGTGGTTAATGTGGGAATTTTCCTTCATTAGTAACATAGAGGAGAAAATTGTTGGCTTTAAATCTTTGGCAGCCTTGCATAGGTAAGAAATTCATTGAGATATGTCCAAAAAGTATTTGGGTAGGACCTTGTGAGGGTAGCTCACCATAAAAATACATATAAGAGAGCTAACAGCTCTTACTTTTCTCAATAATAAATCACTGTGTTTATTTGTAAACATCATTATTTGTCATATAATAGGCTTTTTAGTCTTTACTTACCAAATATTTATTGAGTGTTATGTGTCAGGCAGTGATCTAAGTACTGGGGATACCATGTTAATCAAGACAACTCCCTTTTTTGGTGTAAGTGACATACAACATCATATTAGCTTTCAGAAGTACAATATAATGATTTGGTATTTGTATATATTGTGAAATGATCACAATAAGCCTAGTCAAGATCTGTCACCTTATGTAGTTTACAGAATTTGTTTTCTTGTAATGAGAACTTTTGTGATCTACTCTCTTAGCCATTTTCAAATATGCAATATAGTATTATAAACTGTGGTTGCCGTGCTATACATTATATCCCCATAATTTTTTTTTTTTAAATTTTTTTTTTTTCAACATTTATTTATTTTTGGGACAGAGAGAGACAGAGCATGAACGGGAGGGGAGAGAGAGGGAGACACAGAATCGAACATAGGCTCCAAGCCATCAGCCCAGAGTCTGACAAAGGGCTCCTCGAACCACGGACCAGAGATCGTGACCTGGCTGAAGTCAACGCAGCAACCCACTGCACCCAGGCGCCCCTATATCCCCATAATTTATTTATTTTGTCGGAACCCTGTACCTTTTGACTCCCTCAACCCATTTTGTCTACTGCCTACCCCCTGCTTCTGACAACCACCAATCTGTTCTCTGTATCTAGGGACTTTTTTTTTTTTTAAGATTCCACATGTAAATGAGATCAGGTGGTACTTAAGACATCTCCTTAAAAATAGTGTTCTAGCGCTAAATGTTGGCGTGGAAAATAAATTTTATTTCATTTTTTGGTAATTGTTGGATGGAATCTAATAAAAACAATTCTCCTTTGTCCTGAGATTTCATTAAATGTGTAATTTGGGACTGTCTCAACTTACTTTATTGTTAGGTAATTGAATAACAAGGATAATGGAGTACGAGTACGGAAAAGTACTTTATAGAAGGTTGTAGCAGGATCCAGAGGAAGGACAGGAAAAACCTCCTGAAGGTGGTAAGAGGCCATGTTTTAGCAGGACAGCTACAAGTAATTAAGCATGATTGC